GAAACCTTCCAGCCGGCGAGGTACATGTACCTCGACGTATGGAAGGAAACCCTTCCAGTCGGCGAGGTACATGCCTTGCCGGCTGGAAGGCAACCCTTCCAGTCAACGAGGTACATGCCTCGCCGACTGGAAGGACCTTGCCGGCTGGAAGGAAACCCTTCCAGCCGGCCATTGGTCTCGGGTATCCCAGGGGATACCCGGATATCCGCCGGGATTTGGGGGGGGAAAGGACATCCGCACCCGAATCCGCATCCCCTGGCGGGTATCCGCTGGCCCTGGCGGATATCCGCCAGTGGATAGCGGATATCCGCAACGGATTATCCCCGCCCATCTCTAAATCTCATACACGAGTTAGCTGCAAGCAACAAAAAAAATCCATTTTCCTTCTTTCCTTGTCTCAATCTCTTTCTGACTGTCTCACTGGTTCACCTCAAAAATACAAATATCATACATGAGTTTGTCATACACGCATTAGAAAATTTTTGATTCTCTTTCTTTCCTTGCTTTCTGTCACTCTTCCTGGTTCACCTCAAAAATACAAAAGTCATACACAAGTTAGCTGCAACTTAAGCAACAAAAAAATTGCAGGAAAAAAATTGTTTTTTTCCATCTTTTTGGGAGTGTCACAGGCTGTGAGCAACAAAACAAAAAATAAAGAAAAAAAAAGGGGAAAAAAAATAAAAAAACAAAAAACAAAAGAACAAATAAAATAAAAAGGAAATATATATATATATATATAACGAAAAAAAAATTAAAACCACTTTTGCCAACAGCTCAACAAAAAAAAAAATTGAAAAGCAAAAAGAAATGTGATTTTTTTCAATATTTTTTGCAGGGTCACAGGCTGCAAGCAGCAAAGGAAAAAAAAAATATAAAAAAAAAGAAAAAGAAAAAATAAATTGAAGGCTTCCAGGCTACAAGGACTTCAAAATTGGTGTTTATGCAGCCCCCCAAATGTGAAATTTCCCCATGTGACATTCATTTTGCACCCTAGGGGTCATTTTAGGGGCGGATATCCGCGGATATCCGCGCGGATACCCGCCAACGCCAACAGATACCCACCCGCGGATGCGAATGCAGATGCGGATGTCTGATTCCGCTCAAAACGCGAGCGGATATCCGAATCCGAACGGATATCCGGATTCGCCGGGCCCATCTCTAGTTTTGTGCAAGATTATGAATTTTGACAATGCAACAATTCTTTAGAATCCAAGGTAACACATTTTTGTGGTCCTTTCACAAGTTGAGAGTTTGGCAAGTTTGAACAAGGGCTTCAGTCCTCCTGATTTCAACTTTACTCCCCAACCTGCAGGAAAATGTATGAGGGAGGAGGTCACTGGCAAAGCACAGTCACACCTCATGCTGACTTAGCTCACAACCAGAAGGATCTTACTGGCCAGAAGGAAATACTCCTGGTTGACAAGGTACAATCATCTTGTTGTTTGCTGATCAAAGTAACTCTGTCTGGTTGACAAGGTATAAAATATACCGTGTTGGGTGGAAGGAAATCATTCCAGTTGACAAGGTACATACATGTACATACCTCATTGACCAGAACAAAATCCTTCTGGCTAACAAGATATAGTACCTTGTCATCTGGAAGGACTTCCTTCTAATTAATAGGGTACATATACCTTAACAACTGAAGGGATTAACATAAACCTTGTTGACCAGAAGAGTCTGACCAATTAATGGGAGACCAATAAGAACCACAGCTCTGACAGTCCACACAACAAAACTTGAGAGCTGCCCAAAAACTTGCATGTGTGTTAGAAATCCATTCAGATGACACATGGATGCTTTTTGAGAGATAGATCTACAAACTACAATGTAGTGGGGGGCCTCCAGTTTGGGACAGGAGTGTCCCCCCCCTACAACCAAGCATTTCATCAACTTAAGCCACAACTATGTGCTACTTATCAGATGTAAAAATAAAGTGCATATTGTGTTTGCAAGAAACCTTGGATTGTTTCGCTTTTTGAATTTTTTGTAATCCTTGCAATTCATGGATTTACCTTTCTGCTTTATTAATTTCAAATATGTTTCCGCCTCTGGTGTCCCAGGGCTTTCAACTTTTTTCTCAGCTCATTCGACCGTCCAGTGCTTGGTCGGCATCACTGATGGGGCAGAAGGGAGTGACCGGCGGTCCCAGTGAGCGGCTGGATGGACCTACAAACTGCTCAGGTTCCGAATATGAACATCATTTTTTCTTAATTCTCCTCCAAGAGCATCTACTGAAGCAACATGCCTCCAGAGGTGGTTTTATCCCTGGGTGTTATCTGACATCTGTCAAGATAAAACCCAACTGAGAAAATGAAATTATGGGATTAGCAAAATCAAATTCAAAGGATTACAAAAAATCCAAAACGCAAACCGATCCAAGATTTCTTGCAAACACAGTAATTTTTTTCAAAAAAGTTTGATTGAAAAAAGAAAAAATGGCAACAGATATACATATGTTATTTCTAACTGTTATATGTAAAAGGATGGTTGATATATGTTGTGTACATATACAACAAATGTAAAATAAATAAGTAGTTTTAGTTATATAATCATATTGATCTTGATAAATAAAATAAACAATTAAAAAGACAGGGAGGGCAAGAGAGAGAGAGAGAGAGAGAAAGAGAGCAGTAAGAGGAGAGAGATTGAGAATGTTGAATAATAATAATAATAATAGTCATAATAATCCAAGAAAACAAAACCTAAACTAAACTATACTATACTAAACCAAAAGAGCCTTTAATGGAAAATGAATCATTGGAATCAAGCAAGGCTTTATAAAGAAAGGAAGGTAAACAAAAGAAGGGAAAAGTAAAAAGAGAGAGAGATGAGAAAGAGGGATAGAGAAGAGAAAAGAGAGAGGCAGATCAATTCAAAGTATTCAAAGAACTATTACTAAGATTCCAATCCTGACTACTATTATTATTCTTAGGAGCATTTGAATTAGAACGTAGATGATGATGATGAGGAAGATGATGGTAATGATTCAAAGAAGAAAAGAGAGAAGAAGAGGACGGATTGGTGATTGAGGTAGGATAAAGAAGGAGATGATTAGCAGTCATGGAGTGGTTGGGATTGGTAGAAGCGGCAGAAGGAGAGGAAGGAGAGGAAGATGAAGTATGGGATAGATTGGGTTTTCTGAAGATAGGTTGAAGAGGGATCATAGTGCTTGGAGTCGTCTTAGTAGTAGTATTGGTAGGGGTGGTAGTATTATTAGGATTACTAGTGGCAGTAGTAGGATGATCATCGTCTTCAATCAGTTGTCCTTGATCTTTTTCAATAGGTCCTCCTCGTTCACGAGTGAGAAGAGAGATGGTAGAAGAAGAGGAGGAGGGAGGCCGTTGGATGCTCAGAGAGCTAGCAGCCCGAGCACGACTGAGAGCTTCCATAGCCGGGGACATCGTTTGACCAGCAGATGGACGATGGTGGAGGGAAGAAGAGAGTTCGTGAGGACGAGTAGAGGCGGACGAGATTGAGCCTCGACGGGTGCTCGGCCGGCCTAGGTCGGGGCCAGCCAAGTTAAGACTCGTGACACTTGTCAACCGTTTGCGACCCCATTCAAGCCATCCTTCGCTGGACTGCTGTTGAGCGTCTTGGGAGGGCAATTCAAGGCTCGACGAGAGTGGGCCAAGGGATGAGCCGGTCATCGTCCGATGTAAACGAAGATCTGAGCCTGCCCCTGCCCCCTTCTCCATCATGATCCCAAACTCGCTCTTCGTCGTCAACGAGCCAGACCGACCATGATGATTCACCAACCGTCCTCCACCTCCGATCGACGATCCAAGCAAGGAAAGACTCGCCTTCGAGCTCCTCTGGCTCGCTCCCAATCTATCGCATTCCTCCGAATCACCACCCCCCTCCACTGGGAAGGGCTTGGCAAAACACATTCCTGCCCAGTCCACCGTCTTCCTCCGCGACAGTACTGGACTTGTGTTCTTGTCACTCCGGGGTGGACTGGTGCTACTACTACTATTCCCGGCCTGGACCTCGATCCCATTAGAGAACGGATGGTGGAAAGAACGGTTGGGGATCGATGCGCTTTGCGAGCTCAGACTGGACCGCATCATTATCGGCGGATGTTGGTGATGATGATGATGATGATGATGGTGGTGGTGGTGGGGGCTCTCAGACTGCTTGATGGTCGAGCCCATGCTACTTGAGGGATCAGTCACGATCTCACCGATTGAGCTAAGCGATCGCGATGAATCCCATGGGTTCGAGCATGACCTTCCAAAACCACCATCAATCATTGGAGCCGATAACATAGCCGTGTCGATCCGTCGGGTCGAGCCGGAGCGGTCAACCGTGCTGATCGGGGTAAGTGTTGGCCGCGTTAGAATGAGCTTTCTAGATGATGATGAGAATTGAGGGGCTTCAGTGGCGGTGTGTGTGTGAAGACAGTCGACCGAGCGAGAGTGATCATGCCGAGCTGAGGTGACCTCTAAGCGCACTGAGGGTGGATCGACGAGCGCAAGACTCGAGGTGGGATTGTGCGAACGCATTAATAAATTGGCTCGAGAGGACTGTCGATGGTTACTGTAGATCGTTGGGGTATAGGGTGGGGCAGTACGAGGCTGGATATGATCAGTCAGTGACAATCTTGAACCACTCGGAGAAGACCGAGCACTGATGGTGATCGCGTTACTACTAGTTGTTGGTGGCGTAAAGGAAACGGGTCGACGTCGGGCCCACGTACTGGCCAGGGAAGGTGAGTGTGGTGGCATCGATCTCACACTCCCGGTCTGGGAACGAACAGATTGGGAATCCAATACAGAAAATGGATCGCTCTGCAGGTACGCAATTGCTGCCTGATAGCTCACAAAAGCCCAACTAATCATAAAGATCAAGCGTCAGTAATGTGAGGGCTAAAAAACAAATCAACGGAAAAAAAAACCTACTCGGTTTCTGGGGTTAGCGAACCACTTAATCTGAAAACCTTGGTATATTGAATCAATGAGTGTTGCTGTTGGATACCAGAGCGCACGATTACTGAAGCCAAGAGAGCCAATAGGTCATCAGGTGTGAGCCTACGAGCCTCTTCGTCCATACCGGCTTGGGTGGAGACATCTGTCCAGACGGAGACGAGGATATCGATGGTCTGCTTGATGATCGAGATACATTCGAGGGGTGTCTTAGCCATCAGCACGTTCAAAACCGTCTGCTCATCCACTGTATCCATCGCTACAAACAACCGTTGCAAGATCTCCGGAGATAGTGGAGAGGGGCTTGAATAAGCACCTTCATAGGCTCGAAGTTCATTCAGCTTCTCGACAGCTTCTGTCAATAAGCTCTCGTCCTGGAGTGCCGCGGGCAGTTCGATCTCGAATTCACTCAATGGGATTCGTCGTTTACGATAACCGTGTAGAATGCTATCTAAATAATCGTCTTCGCTGGCGTAATGACAAGACAGGCCACGAGAGTAGAGCGTTGGATGCAAGAAGGCAAACAAGACATCTGTGGAATTGCCAAAAGAAAAAAACCATCCCAATCAATCACAAATAGAAGCATAATCAATTGAACAATGGGGGGAGGGGGGCTTACTCTCGACTAAATTTGTGAGCCGTTCCCAATCTTCGTTACCCCAGGAGTCGACGGTGGCATGACCGTGCTTCTTGAGATCTTCTCGAATATCATGAGTGATAGGCTCAAAGATTTCATTTTTCAATTGCTGTATGATAAATCAAAACCACTCAGATTTGAGATCGTCATCGAAAAACAAAACAAACAGAACAAAAAACTGACCGAAACCATGTAGTTCTCAAATCCTTTCAAAAACACCACCGTCTCACAAAATCGATGACAATGCATCCAGATTTTACTAACACTTTTCCTCAAGATTCCACACGTGATGGCTCCGAACTCTTCGGGAGGACTCAAGAGGAAAGCAAAATCACTATGTGGGGGTTGGGGGGGGGGGTTATTCAGGGTGTCAGAGAGCGAGTAGTCATAGGTATTTGTTGTAAGAAGTCAACCGCTTACCCAAAGATAGACCTGTACTTGTTTGTTCCACTATGTCTGAGTATCGAGAGACCCGAGGGCATTCTTCTCGATCTCCTCTTGGTGGATTCGCGCCTGGTGCTGGACCGACGACTGGAGCGATCGTCCTCAGGTAATAGAATGCTGCTCGACCTCCTACCCATCGATTGTGAGTGGTAAGTACTCGAGAGTGTTGAGCGTTGGCTGAGACTAGCCGAGCTCCTATTGGTTGTCCTGCGATGTTCCGTACACGAGGTGACCGTGGATGTACGCGCCCTAGGGAAAGGGAAGATTCCACCCGTTCGGGGCGGGTTATCAAACTCGCACTGCTTGCAAGGCTCCTGAGGTTCCTGCCTTGCGTCTTGGACGAGTGAGTCGGCTGTTTGTTCCGTCCCGATCACTGAACTTTGCCACCAACATTCGATTACTGGGCTCTTGAGACTGATCAGCCTGACTCGTTCGAGCTTCGTGCCCGTGCGTGTCATCAATGACAGCTCGCGATCCTGCTCCTCCCGAAGCCGTGCCAATGCAACAGCTGCAGCCTTCTCGCGCCGTTCCTTCTCCTTCTCCTTCTCCTTCTGTGCAGCACCTGGGCGTAACCATTTGGGTGCCTTGAACCTAAGCCGTTGCTCAACTTCCTTTCCTTTCTTGGCCTTTGAACCCGATAGGGCTGACTCAAGACCACTGTCAGAAGGCGTGGGCCGAGTGGATGAGGTTTCGTTGCCATGCGGGACCGACTTTTGGGGCATCGATTGTGACACTGTGGATGGGGAACGATACATAGTTTCTTCCGAGACGATCTTTGCCGTCTGAGTCTTGGTCACCGTTGTACTCGGTAGCGAAATCGGGTTCAACAGAGGAGCAGTCAAAGCTGGTCCCAGGGGTAGGGCGGATTTGGGATCATCCAAGGAGTTTTCGACTCCTTTCAAGGTGTTAGAGAGATGACTCTTACAAACTCCAGAGCGAGATGGAGGAGCCATGGAGGTAAGCAGATTAGGTGGTGTAACAGGCATGTCTGACCATCCTTCGGACGATGCACGTGAAACGCCGGAAGAGGATTGAGTGAATGCTAGAGAAGATTCGGTAGCGGTAGAGGGGGAGCGAATGATGGCAGCAACAGCTGGTGAAGTCTTGCTACCTGGAAGCTGAGGTCGTTCGATCGAAATTCCAGGAGAGGGATTATTTGTGGGGAGTGGTGAGGTCAAAGAATCTCCGAAGGTAGATGGATGGTGATAACCGTAGTCGGTATCGTCTGGGCCCACCTTGGCACGAATCGTCCGATGTGGGTCACCCTCGAGAGTCGGCCGTATCGGTGAGAAATCCGTTTGAGTGACAGGTTCGGATGACTTAGACGTAGGGATAGGATTGTTGGGGGTTGTTGGAGGAACTGCTTTGGTGTAGGTTAATCGGACTTCGGCAACGCCAGTACCTGGTTTCAGATACAGATTGACTTTCTTATCCTTCATGGATGTGATTCCAACCCACTCGATGCCTTCCTTTGAAGGATCCTTGGTCAGACTGCCTCCCGAAACTGGATTTGTCGAGTCTGAGGCTGATACAAAGGTATGTGCAGCAATCCATTGTTCCCATTCGGATTCGAATTCAAGAGTTGGATCTGGTAGTTTGCGAGGCATGTCGAGTGGTAGGGCTCTACGGGTGGGCAATAGGACGAGTTTTGCGGAATCATACGCGTTCTTGAGTCGAGGTGAAAGGGAGGTAGAAAGAACAATGTATAGCGGGTTGGAATCATAGTCTTCTTCCTCGTCTGTCTCCTCTTCCGGCTCCAATTCTGCCGAGTCAACCTCGTGGCCACCGTCCGAGTATTCCAGCGAGCCATTATCATCTTCGTCACTGTAGGTAGGAAATATTGCAACAGGGATGACTGGGGGTGATGTGGGTGAGGCAGAGGAAGTCGCAGATGGTAGAGCCTGGGGAACATGACTGGGGATCGAGGGAGTAGTGGAAGGGATCGAGTTGGGGTTGGTGGCGTTTGAGGGCAGCGGAGTGGATGGGGTATGAAGAGCGGCTGGGACGGATGGGGTGAGATCGGTCGAGGCAGAAAGTATTGAGGAGACTTGTGAGTTCTGATGGGCAAATCAAATGAAGTTTAAACATGTCAGCGTCTCGAGAAAAAACGACATTTCAAGGTGGGAAGGAGAAGCAGATTTTTTTTTGTGCCTGCTCGACTCTGGTCAGAGAAATTTGGAGAGGGTCAGCAGAGGGGATGTAAAAAAAGAAGTAGGGAACGAAGGGCGGGGAAAATAGAGGCCTATCAGCACACTCGTCTAGCGATTTAAGCCAAAAGTTCAAGATGCACCCTCTGAAAGGATCATGTATGGATAGAGTTAATGAGATGGGTGAGATGTATTGACTGAATGAATGGAGTGTACAGGAGATCTAAGTGTAAATCAGCCAAACCCACCATGCCCAATTTGGAGGTCCGTTTAACGATTTTAGGCTCGGGAGGCCTGTCGGGTGCCTGCAGGTTAACAGAGAATCAAGGTCAGCTTTGATGACGCGTGTAGGGATTGAAGCGGATGATGAGGTTTTCGTACTAGTGAGCTGTCAGGTGGCGGTCTTACGACGGCCATCATGTCTTGGCCGTCGCCGGGGAGTCCCTTCCGCCCGGAGATTACACGAAATGAGGCGGGTTCTTGTGAGGGGAGAGATCCTACTGGATTGGAGATGAGATGATGAGTTGTTTCTTGAGGTTTTGAAGGAGATTTTGAAGTGGGTTGGTCAGGATGTTGTGAGTCCATCTGACGAGCCTGTTGAGCGACGACTTGGGCAGGGGTGAGAGATTCGAGTGCTGAGGAGGGTGTGGTCTTAGGTTCGGTCTCATGATGATTGATTGTGGTCTTTGTAGGTGATGATGAGATTGGTGGTGGCTGTGCGATTGAGAAGGAGATGCGAACCTGACGAGCGATCTTCTGTGCGGGGGTCATGTCATCTGATTCCTGAGAGGGAGTGGAGGGTTCGAGGGATTGGATTAATGGTTGGGAAGTGGGTGGTAGTGATGATTGAGAGGGCCTGATGGTTGAGTGGAGCTGCTTTGGTTGATGATCAGGGTTGATGGTTGGGAAGTGGATGGTGTGAGTGGATTGAGTGGTGATTGTGGTGGGCAGTGAGTCGATAGATGGGATGGATCGAGTAGGAGTGGGTAGGAGTGAGCTGGCTCGTGTGGTTGGTTGAGATGAGATGGTGGTGATGGATGAGTTGGGAGGCTGAGGATTCTGTTCGAGTGTGGTTGGGGCTCGGTTGTTGGTTGAGTCATGCAGAGTTCTTGGGTGGATGATTTCGTCATTTTCGAGTGAGTGGTTGATCTTGTTCTTCATCTTGTTTCTTATCTGCTGAGTTTGGTGGATGTGTCTGGTGAGTGTGGTTGAAGTTGTTGGTAGTGGTTGGTAGTTGGTAGGTTTGGTTTGGTTGGTTTTTTGCTTGTCAAGGCTCAACAGGCTCAGCTGACCTGTCACCAACTCTCACTGTCACTAATCTACAGCTGTCACATCTCCAACTCAAATCACTTTTCATCCTCCCCGGCCTTCCCCGGCGGGGTCAGGTGATCGGGCCGGGATTCAGTCTCAGACAGCCCGGGTTCATTTGGAACATCTTCAGCAGTCAGCTGGGGGCAATCAAAGTTTGCCCAGTTGCTCTTAATCAGTGTTGGACAGCATATACATGAAACATGTATTCAGCAAAACCTTTGTTTTTGTGGGAAAAATGGATGGAAGACCAAAATTGGGTATGAAGCAATGTTGGAAACTTTCAGTCTATGTCCACCCAACATGCTGCCATGTGAGAATGGTAGTCACTAAGAGCTGCACAACAAAAAAAAAAAAACAGAAAAAGATAGCATAAAACAGCCAAATGAATTTCAAGTACAAATTAGTACATAGTGGAAGAAACTTGCCAAACGGAGAGAATTGAAAATCACCAGAGAGGGTTTTCAAGGTTTTACCCTGGGTAAACATAACCATGTAAATGGTATCTGAAATGCACTCTTTGGAAAAAAAAATTGATTCCACCATAAAACAACCTTGTGTTTTTGCCCAGATCATCGTATGTGTGCTTACCAAAGGCTCACCGGGGACTTACCTGTTAGCTTAACTATGTAAACCTACCAAATGGAGGAGGGGGGAACCCTGTATTTCAAAGGAACTCTACATGCAATGGGATTATGGGATACAGAGATTCTCAGTTACAGTCTGGTGGCACTACACTATGTTGCACTTTTTGCAAGAAAAAAGAATTTACATCAGTATTATTATATATATTACAGTTAGAAAAATGATGTAATGGACTATGTATAGCAATTCATCATGATGTCATGGGGACATAGAAAATACTGTATTTAATCTAATACAATCTTTCCCATCACATCATGGGCAAACTACATTCTAGTACATTAAATAAACATTCTAGAATATTTTCAGACTGCCCTTAAAGGGGACTCAAGAAGATAAAATGAGGCCATTTGTTATGAGCTGTGGAGGGCTGGAACCGGGGATGTTACATATGTAGAGAGCCTGTTATGTACAGTGGGTGGACCGTTATTTTTGGCTGCTTGTTTTGGATTCCAGAGCTTCAAAGCACAAACTTGAAGTCACAAGAATTGTTGAAGTGGTTGCAGAATCGAGCGTAACAAAGCCCGCGAGCACCCGTAGGCGTGAGGTGCAAGCGAGGCTTATGACCAAGATTGAGGAGCCGCGCAAGAGCTCTCAAAAATAAGTGTAGCTTTTCTTTGCTTCAAATTGTAAATTATATGTTTAATGTTTTGCTATCACTACCCTATCCCAGCTGAGCGCTGGCATCCTATCTACAATCCTGTCTGTTCACTTTCATCGTGGCATCATTTGTTTTTTTTTCTATCTTTTTTTGAAATCGGTCATTTCTTGTAATTTTACCGGACCTTTAATGTTTTGTCTATTGATCCATTAAAATGTCAATTGGCCAATCAGCCGTTGAAGTATAATGCCATACCTCAAATTAAATGAACAACATGTGAAAAAACTACTCATAACTAGAGAGGGAGAGATCAAAGAGCAAGACCGATTGACTGAGAAAAAAAAAGCAAAAAAGATCAACACAAAAGGAAAAAAGTAAATAGAAATAACGTTGAGCTCTTTGGAAAGCGGTCGGATTTGCGAAGCGACCAAGATCAAGTCGCTTCGGAATTGCAAACTGACAGTGAGCCAGGTGATTGGGACAATGCGATCATCGAACACTCGCATGCGATTGTCGAACATCGAACAATTTTCCAGGTTCTTGTAATCTCTTTGGATGGGCAGTTGACGAGGACGTTGCGACGGCCATCTGATGAATTCTTCGACCTCTCGCCAGCTTGATCTTGAATGGTGTCGGGTGTTTATATGTGCAAGGAGGGAGTGTATGCGTCGGGTTGGGAGAGAGAGGGACGGAGGAGAGAGAGATCTTATTACTTGAATTAAATGCTGTTGAGCTGAAAGGCAAAAAGGATAGAAAAAAAGAGCGGTTCGTTGAAAAAAAAGAGCCATCCAAAAAAACCATGGCTTTGCTAGTAAGCGGCCATGGAAATTCAAGAAACTCAAAGTTTCATGAATTTATTTGATCATCATAGGGACATATATTTCAGGTTCTGAATTGGCTGTTTGATAAATAAAAACACAAAGTTTAAACTATGAAAAAGAAAAAAAAAACTTGTTCAAAATTAAGGCCTGCAGGTGCCCACAACATCCTCTGCCACCAAAGCTTGGAGATGCTGTTGGGCCATGATGGCTGATTATTCCTAAGTCCTCTCCCTGCGGGAGAGTCCCTAGTGCTTGCACACTCGACCAGCGGCTACAGTGCCCCACGCCGCAGCAGGGACGCGGACTTTGATAAGTTCGGTGCAGAATAGGTCCCAAAGAATGAATATGAAAAAATAAAAACAAAAAACAAAGTTTCAAAATCTGTGAAAAATAAAGGGTCTTAGTTAAACGACTCCCAAATATTGGAGTTCCAAATGTTGAGATCTGATCTCAATCCCTCCAGTACTCTAGTGGTGTTTTTCCTAAAGTCGCCCATTACATAAGCCCAGTCGACTTCTCAATGACATCATTGCTGCGGTCTCTGCACTGTCTTATATAAGTCCCTTCCTTCAACCTCGCTCGCCTTTCTCCCCATGACTCCAGAAACCTTTATCGCTGTTTCTCAGAAGACTCTTTCTTCCTCTTCTCATCATCTCGGACTCATCATCGTCACTCTTACCTTTTTCTCAAGAAAGACACGTGACATTCTTTTTCTTAACAAAACTTCCTCCTCCCTTCTTTTTGATAAAACAACTCGCTTGTTAACTATCATCGCTTGTCGTCAAACATCATTCGACTCGACCGTTCTCACTTCATCTCGTCTCCCTTCTATTTGACTCTCCGCCGACAGTTAAACCTCTCTTGCCTTCATTAGGTCACAGTAGGTGTTCACTCCACTCTCTTCTGGACGGCGGTATAACCAAGACTCTGACTTCTTTTCATTATTATTCTTTGCTCTTGTTTCTTCTCTTTTTCATTTATTGTGTCCCTTGTCTAGTTGTTCCTGCCTTAAGGTACACTCTCATTTCTTTTTGTCTGATCATTTTCTTTGTCATGTATTTCTTTGTTAACTCTCACTAACCTGAAATACATTCTTAAGTTTGGTATTTAACACCAAATCCCAAATATTTGGGACGTCGCTAAGACCCCCTGCAGATGGTCCGCAGGCTGTCCACCCCCGGAGATGGGAGTCATGTTAAAATTAACAATGCATTTTTCAGACATTTAGCAGAAAATAATTGACTTGGGCAGGATTTGAACCAGCAACCTAAAGCGTCCAAGGGATTCTCGGCAGGCGAGACCATCCAGAGGATGGTGTACAGCCCGGTGTCCATTGGACACTTGATTGGGAGTGTCCGATGGACAACAAGAAAACCATCAATTGGACACTTCTCAGAGTGTCCGATTGATGGTTTTCATCCGGGTCCGGTGTGGGATACTTTATGGGTTCCCATCCAACAACTTCAAAAAAATTTATATTTTTCTTGTATATACAATAACATTACACCAAACATGGCTCCAGGAAGGGATTCCAGGGCCAAAGTTACCCTAGAGGAGCAGGCTTGGGTACATGTAACCCCCCTGTGTTACATTTTAGACCCCTCTTTCACTCACAGGTAGGGGGGTCAAGCACCCTTACATGTTACAAGGATTCAGGTACACATTTCACCCCTCTGGGCCATGTGAACTGGCATCTGTACATCTCAAGCAAGTACAATGGAAGTATGCAGGCACAGCATACAGGCTACCTTGGCAACCTGTCATGCGATGCGTACAGCCTCAAATACAGGATGACATCATGCGGCTTACAGAACACAGCCTGCAGGTTGCTAGGTTGCATAGCAACTGTTGCACAGCTTGTCAATCCGACGGAAACCACTCAACTTCTCAAATCACATCATGTAGGCTGTACCACCAGCCAAAACCCCTCATGTATTCTTCCATCTTGGCCAAATTCCCTCATGTAAGGCTGTACAACCAGCCAAAATCCCTCATTCCTGGCTCCCCTGGAGCCAAAATACCTCATTGTTGTCTATATAAGGAGGCCCCTCCTCCCAGTTGTAATCTCTCCCCAGCAGACTTCCTGCAGACATTTCCCCACATAACAGGCAAATCACTGCTCACTCCATAATATTATTTGTTCCCCAATATTTTGGTTTTACAATTATAACAACCCTTACATACAAATATTACAACATCTTTACACATAACAACAACCCATTTTTGCACCTGTCCACCTGTTAAGCAACAGAGTATCTTTTGATACACTCCACTATCACTAATTAAAAGCTGCCAATCTAAGATTGGTGGTCTTGTTTAGTGTAGTACAGTGCCTAGACAGTGAAAAGTGGCTGCTTATTTTGGATTCCAGAGCTCCAAAACATAAATTTGAAATCATGAGACTTGGTCAGCTGGTGCATAATAGGTCCCAAAAAATGAATATGAAATAATAAAAGCAAAAAATAAAGTTCCAAAATTTGTGAAAAATAAAAAATAAAATTGATTCTTTTCAAAAGCTTTGATATTCATTTTGGGGGAGTGGGAGTGCTGAGAGAAAGGAAGATTGGGAAATGAGAAGAATGATTATAAATGAAAATTTTGGAAAAACTGATTTTTGGATGGCTTCAAACAGCTGTTGAGGGGGGCATTGTTGAAATTTCGCTCATCTCTCTCTTCTTTCCTTTCACTCACCTGTCACAATCTTATTCAACGGCCATTGTCTTTTCTTTTTTTATGCCATGAGTTCTTAGACCCACAACTTGAACCTCTTGTAGTTAGAATATTTAACTCATCTTGACTGCAGCTTAAAAAATGAAAAAACCATCGGTTCTTTATTCTTTTCTGAGCCTTTCCTGAAGAAGCACTTTTAGCCCTTCTTCAGTCA